AGTGTTCGTTTTATTTATTATTGCTAACTTATTTCATTTTATTTGAAGTAAATGGATATTATTTTATACAATGGCCTTATAATTTTATCTTACTTGTCCTATATTTTTCTAAACTTAGTTTTTAAAGCAAATGTTAGGGATATATTAGGTTTTGTATTGGTTTATTTTGATTTTACATTCAAAATAAACCAATACAAAACCTAATATAACTTTTCCTATATTTTTCTAAACTTAGTTTTTAAAGCAAATGTTAGGGATATATTAGGTTTTGTATTGTGATGAGCCTAAATTTCATACAATTATACATGGCTTTTTAGTCATGAATTGTAGTCTTTTATATTTTATTGGAATGATTTTATTTGGTTTTACATTGCTTTTATCATTCTTTGTAGGTAGAGGATAAAACTAAAGAAATTGAGAGTAAATGGGCTGAAATGACAAAAGTTGAAAACATCAAGTCTGATTCCATGATTTCTCCATTTCAAAAACCAGAATTGAAATTTTCTTTCCGCAATGCACGTGGCACAACATTGTGGGCTTTATCTCCACAAGGAGATAAAGATGGGCTTTAAAAGAGAAAGGGCACACGGAGTTTTAAAAGGCAGAGCACATTGTTGAATATAAAAAGGGGGCAGTCGCTGAAGATTTCAGGGAGAGGACTTCCGAGAAGAAATCAAAGAGGCAGCCGGCAGAGAGCTTGGAGGCGAGTTTGAGACAAAGCTTGCGCAGATTCTGTGTTAGTGACAGTAGACGCAAAGGCAGCCACTGGGACACTTCAATCCAAAACAAAGGGACAAGCGCAACAGTGAAGGCTACAGATCTGAGTCCCACAAATTGGGTTTTTGGTCTTCTAAACTTATTTTTTTCTTTGTTTAGATATGGAACTGTGGTTCATCAATTTAATCTCAGATTTGATAATGTTTGGTATGAACTAATTTTGCCATCTAAGGCTACGATGTAGCCTGATCAATTTAATATAGAATTTCATGATTTTTATATTTTCAAGGGTTATTATTTCA